CGCGCGGTGGGGGGCGGGGGGCGGATGGAGCGATCCAGGGATTCTCCTGCTCCCACTGCCCTGCGGAGCTGCCTCCTTGCTCCGAAGCTTCCTTGCAATCCCAGGTCACCTACACCCCGCTACACGGATCACCCCATCTGGGGATGTATGTGTTTGTGCGCGATATGCGTCAGCCCCAGACTGTTCCACCGCACTAGTACACTTACCCTTGGTGGAAGATTGGGATGGGGGTAGGGGGTGCCTTATGCATGTCACTACTACTTACAGCCTCCTCTGCTTGCTGTCCTTTATGACTCAGGTAAACCCAGAGAACTGACCACATACACCCCTGCTCAGGTTTAATATTTCTTTTTCCACAGGCTGTGTTGGAACCCCGCCCCCCACCCCGCCTAATTCTGGGTTCTTTCACGTTTTCTTTATAAATAGCTGTGAAAATTGCTAATCCCTTCCCACACTAAGCCCTGTTAAATACCGAACTGCCCTGTTGAAACAATCACTACCTTTCTTTGACCACATTCCCACTGTCTGAATATCGACCTCCCATTTCATCCATCACCCACCCAGTCAGTGTTGGCAGTACTTAATTCTTAGATGGCTCAAAGTGGCATTTTGGCCTCCAGCAAAATGACCTTTTGCCTCAGTTTCCGTATTTGTAGGGAATGTAGAATCCTTAAAACATTTTTAGGTGAACTCAAAAAAATAATAATAATGTATTTTAAAATTAGCATATTAACATATATTCAATGAAGTTTTAAAAGAACCACTATTTAAAAGTTTACTGACTACAAAAACTGATTTTTGAAATGCATCAAATATTAGATGGATTGAGATTGATGGGTTGATAAAGTAGACAGAGGGATAATAGATATGTGATAAAGTATGCATATAGTACAATATTAATGGTAGATTCTAAGTGGTGGGTATACAGGTATACACTGTAAAAGTCCTTCAGCTTTTTTGTAAGTTTGAAATTTTTCATAATGAAATGCTAGAGAAAACCCTTATTTGTGGTAAACAAATAATGTAAATTTTCTGTTTAGAAAATTGATCAATTAGTAATTCTTCCCTCTTTACAAAATGATTTACCATACACATTCTATACCTAGGTACCCCACTGCTACTTAGTCAATAATTCCATTACAGACTGCTTGGTGGGGATCAGACTATTGTGTTATAACTAGAACATTTTAGAATTTGGAAGATTTTTCTTGTCTTTTTTTTATGGTCGTGTCCATTCTCAATTTTTTTTATCTTCCTTGCCTTTAAAAGTTTGTTATTATAAAACTGAGATTGAATTCTTCAGCATCTATGGATATTCTTTTGAAACTTTTTCACACCAAAATAGCTTCAGGAGACAGTCCGTATGTCCATACATATCAGCTTCTACTATCCTTTGGGAGAGATGTCAAGGGGTCTTGTAATTAATAATGGGTAAAACTTTGCTTTTGGATATCTGAGTATCTAAATATTTGCCCAAACATTTCAACAATTAAATTTCCATCTTCTCTTCATTTTCTTTTGCTGGCTGTAAGACAGGAGGTGGCCCTGTGCCACTCTTGAAGGGAGAACAGTTCCAGGATAAGATGTGTGGTTCCCTCATCTGAGGAGAAGGTGACATTGATTTTGCTAAGAATCAAAGATAGGGATGCAGGGGTTTCTGGTTATTTGGATTACTTTCCATTCCAATGCTCATTAATAAAGAACCCAATCAACTTTAAAAAGTGTACACCCAGAAATGTCATTACTTGTTCCTAAGGCTGTCCTTTAAAAAAGTTTGTTCTTTTCATCCTTTTAGATATGTGTATTTTTTCTTTGCAAAAGAAAGGAAATGTTTGTGTGTTGTTGTTGTTTTTTTTTTTTAAAGAGAAATAAGAATGAAAGGAAAAGCACAGAAAAGGACATTAACTTCATGTGCAAATGGTCAGAGACTACTTACAGCTGCCAAATAGTCTTAAATCTTGAAGTGGCATCAGATATCTCCCTTTTGACAATTGTTCACCCTTCGTTCCAGTCTCCGCACCACTGGACACCTCCTTCCCTCAGCCCATTAGTGTCAAACTTCCTGAGGTTTGCCACATTAAAGTGCAGGACTCAGCGTTTGCAATTGACATGTGACATCACATCCTCTATTATATAACTTCAGATACAAAGCCTAATATAATCTAAGTGTGTGTTAGAAAAAAAAAATTCTCCCTTCCTCTTTAAGTTTTAGCAGAGTCAACCATTGGTTCCATGATTCTAATCCCATTTCTTCAAACAGTG